AACAGAGTTAAAACACCTGCATAAGATACAATTATGATCCATAAAAATGGTCAAAATACGGTGTTATCAACTCCCCCAGACTTACCTTTTTGTTTGTCCTCAAACAAACTTAAGTCAGGAAAATTTTTTTTTTGAAAATCGCAGGAACTAAAAATATCTCAGTGACCGTCCTTCTAAACCATAACTTATCGTGAAACATCTATTTGGATCTAGTCTAGAAAATTCTCACCGAAATACAAGCAAACTAGTCCGTTAATCCGTCATGCGAAAATCTACACACTTAGATCTAACTTCCAGTCAACTAGCTCTCTACATTAATTAAGTGTAGTAGTGAATTCTCATTAAAGACATTATTCTGGGTAGACGGCGTTTGGTATGAAAGGCTATTTAAGTGGTGGAGTTTAAGTGTTTCGGGTTACCTGAAGGTTATGGAGGATGCAAGATATTATGCAAAACCGCAAGAGAGAGAAAGACCTATTGATGTCCACAAATTTTCAGTCACTTCTCCTTTGCTACACGTTGTTGCATAATCTTTCTCTTTTGTTGTAAACAGCTGTTCCCCCAGACTTAGATTTTTTCCGGGAATCATAAAGATAATCTCTAAAACTCTAAATAATCAGATCAAGCTTGCCTCAAGTATAAAATTCGATCCTCCTAGACTCTCTAAGGCTTTAAATTTCTTTTCCCTTGTGTTTTTTTTTTTATTCTCTTTTTCGGATTTTTTTTTGTTTTTTTTTTTGAAAAAGGAAATAACCTTTTATAGAGTGAGAGTCTAAGGGACGAAATTGTACCAAGATTTTGAAGTTTTTCCAAGGCAAACTGAATTATCTCCTTTTGTTGAATCATTCCAATGAAATCGCAGGTCTTTGTCTTCAGTGACTGAAAACCGCGTTGATCCTCTTTCTCTCCGACGTTTTTGCACATATCTGCCATATCTGCATATAGGACAATGAAAAACAAGAATGCATGTGGTTAGAAAGAGGTTAGGTTCGGTGGGGAACTAGCTAGATATAAACTTAATGAAAAACAAGAATGCATGTGGTTAGGAAGAGGTTAGGTTCGGTGGGGAACTAGCTAGATATAAACTAGCCATTCAGGATCAACAAAGAGTGGTAAAAGGATAAAGGAGTCCTGAATGTATGATTCGTTTCCCTGATCTAACCCTTTAATGAGAAAATTAAGTTAAAATTAAGTCCAGATAAAATGAGCTAATATCCGGTTAGAAAGAATCTCCATGAATGGAACTCCTCTGGTGGGATTTCGTAATGCAAGTATTCTAGCTACCGCCTAGTCAAGGCCTAAATCACAAAAGAGCAAAAAACGAGGAAATAGCGTAGAAGCACACTGGTCTAAATCATCATAGTATCGTTTATTGTGTTCCTGGTTTGAAAACTTTTTGAAAAACATTTTGAAAACGATTTTTTTAAAAATTTATTTAAAATATTTTGAAAAACTCGTTTTTTTGTGTCCAAAACAAACTCCAAACAAATCAAATTTCATTAGTAACGGACGAACATCCTCCCCCAGACTTATTTCACACTGTCCTCAGTGTGATAAATCTTGGAAAGAATGGTAAAGAAAATAGAAAAGCTGAAATGTTTAAGAGTACTTATCGTGCTGGAGAGTGCTGCTCGTCTTTTGTGTTCGTTCTTCCTTATTGAAAACCTGAAATTAAATAAACAGAAACAAAGCAATGGAAATATAAAATAAAGGTCAAAGGGAAATAGATAAAATACCAAGTGGGTTGCCTCCTACTAAGCGCTTCTTTCAAATCATTAGCTTGACATTGTTGCTCGATTAGACTTAACCGGGGTCGTGACACTCCTTGATCTCATCATTGGCCGATGATGGATCAATCAAAAACATCACTTCTCTTTCGTCTTCTCTTTCTTCAGGCAGACATGGCTTTACACGCTGTCCATTCACTGTAAATGAGTTTCCGGTTTTGTCCCATAGGACAATGGCTCTGTATGGTTTGACTTCCTTTATCGTGAAGGATCCTAACCATCTTGAACGTAATTTTCCTGGAAAAAGCTTATGACGAGAATCGAAAAGAAGAACTTTATCGTTAGGAGCAAAAGTTCTATGAATAATCTTCTTATAATGATATGCTTTAGTCTTCTCCTTGTAGATCTTCGAGTTTTCGTAAGCATTGTGTCGAATTTCTTCTAACTCGTGAAGTTGAAGTAGTCTTCTTTCTCCAGCTGTTTTCAGATTCATGTTCATCTCTTTGATAGCCCATTGCGCCTTATACTGGAGTTCTATTGGAAGGTGACATGCTTTTCCGTAAACTAGGTTGAATGGTGTTGTTCCTAATGGTGTCTTGAATGCGGTTCGATATGACCAATCTTTGCGATGGACTGCAGTTGTTTTCTGCAAAATCGACTTGATTTCTCTGTTTGAGATCTCTACTTGACCGCTGGTTTGGGGATGGTATGGAGAAGCAACTTTATGTGTAACTCTATTCTTTCTAAGAAGATTCTCGAAAACTCTGTTGATGAAATGTGATCCTCCGTCGCATCGCGAGATATAAGCTTGAGTATTTTTGAACAAAGTAGGCCACCAGAAACCTGCTTGTAAGATCTTTGAAGCAGTTTTGAAGGTTGTGAAATGTCCTGCGTAAGACGAGCTATGACATCCGAATAAAATTCCTTCCATCTCTTCTTCAGCCACAAATCTTCGGAATAACCCATCAGCACATCTCTTATAGAGATAGGGTTCATCCCAATAATAATGTCTTACGTCCTTCAGAAACTTTTTCTTCCTATACCCGAAAAATTGTGGTGGTTCTACATCAGCTGCTAGGTAATTTGCTATGTGCCTAAACCATGGGGTGTTAAAAGCATCTGATCTTCGCATGAGTGGACGTGGTGGTGCGGTATTGGCATTGGTTGGGGTTGTATCTATTGCATAGATGTTTTCTTCTGGCAAACTATCATTTAAAGGCAATATTTCTTCAACTCGAATTCGTGAAAGATGGTCTGCAACTCCATTATCTGCGCCTTTTCGATCTCGAATCTCGATGTCGAATTCTTGCAGTAGGAGGATCCATCTAATCAACCTCATTTTAGCGTCTTTCTTAGACATTAAATACTTGATTGCAGCATGATCAGTATGAACTATGACCTTAGATCCTACGTGATAAGAACAGAATTTCTCAAATGCAAATACGACAGCTAGAAGTTCATTTTCTGTTGTTGCATAATTGCATTGAGTTTCGTCTAGAGTTCTGCTTGCGTAGTAGATTACGTGCAGTTTCTTATTTTTTCGTTGGCCATGCACTGCTCCGACTGCATAGTCACTTGCATCGCACATGATTTTGAATGGGAGTTCCCAATCAGGTGCTTGCCCGACTGGAGCGGAAACTAGGGCTTCTTGATCTTATGAAACGCGGCTAAGCATTCATCATCGAACTCGAAGTTCGTTTCCTTTCAAAGCAAACGCGTAAGAGGTTTAGCTATTTGAGAAAAATCTTTAATGAAACGTTTGTAGAATCCTGCGTGTCCTAAGAAACTACGAATTCCTTTTACGTTTGTGGGAGGTTGTAGGCTTGTCATGACTTCGATTTTAGCTTTGTCAACTTCAATTCCTTTTCTCGAAATTCTGTGCCTAAGCATGATTCCGTCTCGTACCATGAAGTGACATTTTTCCCAATTTAATACTAAGTGCTTATCTTCACATCTTTCCAGAACTTTACCAAGGTTGCCTAGGCATTTTTCGAAAGAAGATCCATAGACCGAGAAATCGTCCATGAATACTTCCATGAAATCCTCAATAAAATCTGTGAAGATCGACATCATGCACCGCTGGAAGGTAGCAGGTGCATTACACAGTCCAAAAGGCATACGTCAGTAAGCAAACGTGCCATATAGACAAGTGAATGTCGTTTTTTCTTGATCCTCTGGGCGAATAGGAATTTGGAAAAATCCGGAGTATCCATCAAGGAAGCAATAGTAGGGGTGATTAGCTAACCTTTCTAGCATTTGATCTATGAAGGAAAGTGGAAAATGATATTTCTTAGTTGTTGCATTCAGTTTCTGGTAATCGATGCACATACGATGTCCAATTACTGTTCTTGTAGCGATCATTTCATCCTTATTGTTTTTAATGACAGTGACTCCTCCTTTCTTCGGGATCTTTAGGAAATTCAGGCTCTTTTTAAGCTAATCCACTCCTAAGTGTGATCGCTTTCACATGATCGGAGGGATCTGCTTCACTTGAGCTCTCGAAAGAATTTTCACTTGGCTCCTCTTCGGAATTTTCTAAGTTTCTAGAATTAGTTTTGATCATCAGGCTGAGGAGGGTGGAAAATTTTTCATTAAAATCCTATTGCATCGTTTTTAGTTCAGATCTAAGATCACTAATTTCTTGAGACCTAGATTTTTCAAGCTCTAGAATTCTTTTGTTTAGGTTTTCAGCTTCAGAAGAGGGAAAACTAGGATAGGGATTGAAATTAGATTGAATAGCCAAGATTTGTTCGGAAGGTGATGTCCAGGCAATTTTGGAAGATATTTCCCCGTGGTCAGAAGGCTCGCGACCGCGGTGAAATAGGTCTTGGCCGCGGTCAGCATCATCACGACCGCGGTGAAAGCATGGTTTGCTGCGGTCCGAATGAATAGACCCGCGATGATCAGAAACGAATGGAAAATCTTGAATTTGATATACTTCTGCAGTGTTCACCATCCCTTGATCATAAGAATCCATTGGGTTGTCCCAACCGTCAAAGTTACACGTATTGTGTGCTTTGTTTGGTTGTTGCAATCCAAGTTGACTCATTATGTGATGGAGACACTTCATAACTTTTGAAATCTCTTCTTTTCTTCTGAGGAAGTGCAGAATTACCAAAGGTTGCTAGATTACGGATGCTGTTTCCAAAATTGTTGATGAAAGCATCTTCTACAGATCTAGTCGAGAAGTCTCCATTACTTGCTGTGTCGAAAGAGTGTCGTAACTCTGGAGTAATACCTCGATAGAAGATACCCAGCAGGTATTCGTCGGTATATCCATGGTGTGGACAATCTCTTTGGTATTCCTTAAATCTTTCCCAAGTATCTAAAAGATCTTCATCTTCTTTTTGTTTAAAACGTTTTGTTTAAAAGTTCTTATCTTGTTCCTTAAGAGATTGGAACGATTTCTAGTATAAAAACGATTTAAGAAAGCTGTTCTACACACTGCCCACGTTTAAGATTTTAGCCATTTGCTGGCGTTGTCTCTCAAAGAGAATGAGAAAAGACTACACTTGTGGTAATCCCCATTTGCTGTAATGGTTGCACATAATTCTTCAAACGTCTTGATATGGTCTATCGGATGTTTGGACATGTAACCATGGAATTGATTTTGTTGAACTAAATGGATATAGGGTACCTTAATTTCGGTTTTGCCATCCTGTGGTAAGGCTGGTTGAATAGCTCTTCGATCTCCCATGAACTTTTTGAGTGAATCGAAACTTCTAATCAGTTCGTCATCATCTTCATGTTTTGTCGATCTGACTAGCTCATCGTCATCATAGATCGGTTCTTCAAACTCATCATCAGTCAGGTCATCGTCGCTTGGATCACCATCCACACGATATGGTGGATCACCAAGACTTCTGATAACACCGTATTTTGACCACTTTTATGGATCATTATTGTATCTTATGCAGGTGTTTTAACTCTGTTTTCAATGTTTTTAAAGTGTTTTCAATGTTTTAGAGTTTCAAAAGACTTTACAGGAAATTTGGGCAAAAGATATGCAATTTGGAACAAATGAGCAATTTTAGATAAATGCAGACCGTCAGAAGTATGACAAGCGATGAAGACCTTCTCACCGTCTGATCACCCCCAAAATTTGAGACAACATATCGTATCCAACCAGATTTCTAATGCACTTGGTTTAGAGACAATCCAACGGTTAGATCTTCAGATACTCCCAATGCAAGAATGACAGAAAATGCAGTTCCGGAAGAGAGCAAGTGCCGGGACCGCGGCCAACACCCATTTTCCCGCGGGTAGAGCCACCGCGACCGCGGAACTTGGTCATTCACTTTCCCGACGACTTAATTAAAGCCCAGATCAATTCCTTTCGTTATTTTTGAAGCCCTAAGTGTCCAGAACCACCTCAGAAGCTATAAATACCCCCTTTAGGTCATTCTAAAGGGCAGACACCGAAACTAATAGACAAAGAGGAGAGAGAGAGATTTTCGTGCAACCCTAAGGAGGAGCCGCCGCCGTCTTCGAAGAGGAGCCGCCACAGGAGTGACCATCGCGCCTCCTTCTGCTTCTCCGTTCTTCGTTCTTCTTCCTTCTTTTCTTTAATTACCTGCAACTTTCAATACTCTGTGATGATTGTTTACAATATGTTTGAGTAGTTACCCAGTTGGGTTTAAAGGGATTTTTCAAAGGGAACTTCATGTGTCTTTGCTTATGAATCGATAGATTTAGGATTTATAATCTTCTAGATGTTCTTCGTTTGCCTTTAATCTTACTGCGTGATTCTTTGCTGGCCACTTAGAAACCGATCTGATATGATATGTTGCGAAAGCTTTCATTGATTGTCTGAACTATGGTGAAACGAGCAATTCTTCTATAGGAGTGGAAACCTACCTGTAGTTGAGTTGTGAATGTTGATGAGTCTTATTCTGCTATTGCATCTTCTCCCTTCCAGAATCAGAGTGGAAACCTACTGATTAGGGTTGCGAGAGATAGTTGTTTAGTGCTGCGAAAGTAGGCTATTCATACTTTCGTGCCTCGAGTTCTAGAACATACGTAGTTGATTACCTTTATCACTTGTTTAAAATCGACCTAGCATAGACTATGAACCCCTGTGAAAACCCCTTGATGCCCAACGTTTGTCTTTAATTGTTTACAACCTTCAATTTAGTTTGTTTTTCATTCGCTTATTACTTGCTTACATTCGCTTTTGTTTAATCGATTTTACTTGCTTTGATTTGCCTTCATTTTCAATCGCTATTTACTTGTTTCCATTTGCCTTAGTTAATCGCTTTTTATTTGCTTTAGTTGCTTTCGTTTTTATTTGCTTTTACTTGCTTAGCTTTCTAGTTTAGATTTAGTGACAACCAAAAACCCAAAACTAAAAACAAAACCTTTTTAGTTCTAATCTGATTTAAGCGTTGCAGTGAATTCGTACTGAAACAACTAAGTCTCTGTGGATCGATACCCTAAGTACTACAGCGCACATCTGTGCACTTGCAGACATTTACGGGTTATAAATTTAAAACCTGAAGCTTAGTAAAACAAAACAACCAACCCCGTTTACAAACCCGCATCAAGTTTTTGGCGCCGTTGCCGGGGACTTAAATTTGTTTCGTTTCGAATCCCAGCTTAAATCCATTAGAACACTTTTTTATTTTTACTTTTTCTTTTGAATTTTTCAGGTTTCTCTGAGATGAGAGACCGGGAACATGTTCCTGGGACTCTTGGTGATCCATCAAATCGTGTGGATGGTGATCCAAGCGATGATGACCTTACTGATGATGAGTTTGAAGAACCGATCTATGATAACAATGAGCTGATCGGATCGGTCAAACACAAAGATGATGATGAACTGATTGGAAGTTTCGATTCACTCGAAAAGTTCATGGGAGATCGAAGAGCTATTCAACCAGCCTTACCAAAGGATGGCAAAAACGAAATTAAGGTACCCCATATCCATTTAGTTCAACAAAAGCAATTCTCTGGTTATTCATTCGAAAACCCGATAGACTATATCGAGACGTTCGAAGAATTATGTGCAACCATTACAGCAAATGGGGATTACCACAAGTGTAGTCTTTTCCCATTCCCTCTTAGAGATAAGGCCAGCAAATGTCTAAAATCTTTGCCACCTGCTTCATTAAAAACGTGGGCAGCGTGTAGAACTGCTTTCCTAAATCGTTTTTACACTAGAAATCGTTCAAATCTCTTAAGAAAGAAGATAAGAACTTTTAAACAAAAAGAAAATGAAGATCTTTTAGATACTTGGGAAAGATTTGGGGAATACCAAAGAGATTGTCCACACCATGGATATGCCGAGGAATACCTGCTAAGTATCTTCTATCGCGGCATAACTCCAGAGTTACGACACTCTTTTGATATAGCAAGTAATGGAGATTTCACAACTAGATCTGTAAAAGATGCTCACGTTTTCATTAAAAATTTAGGAAACAGCATCCGAAATCAAGTAACCTTTGGTAATTCTGCACTTCCTGAGAAGAAAGAAGAAATTTCGGAAGTTATAAAGTGTCTCCGTCACATAATGAGTCATCTTGGATTGCAACAACCAAATAGGGTACACAATACGTGTAACTTTGATAGCTGGGACAACCCAATGGATTCTTATGGTCAAGGGATGGTTAACACTGCAGAAGTCTATCAAATTCAAGATTTTCCATTCGTTTATGATCACCGCGGGTCCATTCGTCCGGACCGCGGCCAAACAAGCTTTCACCGCGGTCGTGCTGGTTCTGACCGCGGCCAAGACGTGTTTCACCGCTGTCGTGAGCCACCTGACCGCGGGAAATTGTCTTCTGAGCTTGCCTGGAAACCACCTTCCAAACCAATCTCAGCTATTCAATCTAATCCTGTTTCCTATCCAAGTTTTCCCTCTTCTGAAGCTGAAAACCTAAACAAAAAGATTCTAGAGCTTGAAAAATCTATGTCTCAAGAGATTAGTGATCTTAGATCTGAAATAAAAGAGATGCAGAAGGATTCCGATACCCTCCTTAACATAATAGTCAAAACTAATTCTAAAAACTTAGAAAATTCTGAAGAGGAGCTACGTGAAAATTCTTTCGAAAGCTCAAGTGAAGCAGATCCCTCCGATCATGTGAAAGCTATCACACTTAGGAGTGGATTAGCTTACAAAGAGCCAGAATTTCCTAAAGATCCCGAAGTTGAGGAAAAGGGTAATGAAAAGGAGAAATAAAAAGAAAGAATCACGAATGAAGATGTTGAAAAGGAAGTGGTAGGAGAAAATGATGGAGAAGAAGTAAGAGAAGATTCATCCCGGGAAATCCTTGGAGAAGACCCAATTCCACCTCCACCAACTCGTGTCTATAAACCTAAACCTCCATATCCTAGAGCCTTAAGAGCCCCTAAAAAGGAAAAAGAAAAAGCTAAGCTGAAGGAGTTAATTGATCAGTTAAATGTGAGATTACCTTTTGTAGAAGCTTGTGCTATGATTCCTGCTTTAAGAAATTACATGAAGAGTATTCTGACAATTTCTTTAACTCTTGAAGAAGGCGTTATGATGATAACCCATGAATGTAGTTCTATCCTGCAAAGCCGAATCCCTGAAAAGAAAAACGATCCTGGAAGCTTTGTACTTTCATGCACCATCAATGATGTAGCTTTTGAACGTGCCCTCTGTGATTTAGGTTCTAGCATAAACATGATGCCTCTTTCAGTAGCAAAACGTTTAGGACATCACACTTTCAAGCCCACTAAAATCTCCTTAGTATTAGCTGATCGTTCCGTTAGACAACCTGTAGGTATCTTAGTAGATGTTCCCGTCGAAATCGAAAAATGTTCTATACCAGCCGATTTCGTAGTTCTAGAACTAGAAAAAGAACCTAAGGATCCGCTTATTCTTGGAAGACCATTTCTATCTACAGCCGGAGCCATAATCAATGTTCCTGAAGGAAAAATTGACCTTCATCTAGCCGGCCTAGTTATGCAGTTTGACATGAACAAAAGTTTCGATAAACCGACTTTGGATGGCAAAATTTGTTGGGTTGATGAGTTAGACGGAATTATTGAGGAAGTCTATGAAGATCTGCTTCTAGATGACCCTTTAAGTGTCACTCTTTCACCCGCAAAAGATGAACGCAATTTCCTTGAAGAAATTTCAAGTGAGTGCACACGTATGCTTGATAAATCCGAAACTTATAGGAAACCTCTACACTAACTAGATCTTAAGGACCAAACAACCATTCCTACACCTCCTAAGGACACTTCTGCAGCAATTAATGATCCTTGGAGCGAGCTTAAAGCCCCTAAAGTCGAGCTTAAACCTCTTCCCGTCGGACTTAAGTACGCCTTCCTTGGACCAAATTCTACTTATCCTGTCAAAATAAACTCTGGTTTGACGGAAGAAGAAACCACAATGTTGTTGACTGAGCTGA